GAGAGAGAGAGAGAGAGAGAGAGAGAGAGAGAGAGAGAAAGAAAGAAAGAAAGAAAGAAAGAAAGAAAGAAGGCGCGCGCGCGCATGAGCGAAACTATAAAAGCAAAGCATATGCTCGCGTTAAATATACATAAGCAGCATAATTAATCTTCTTGAATAACACTGTCGTCGCGAGAATAATACGCGAATTAACCAACCAACAACAACATCGTATAAAACAAAAAAATAATAAGTATATAATATAAAATATAAAAAAAAGTTAATAAAAATAACAAACGTTCGACAAAGGTTTATATTGCGAACGACAACGGTAGTCCGAACACACGGTTTTGTTTTCCTCTTTTATTTTATATTTTCTTTGGTTTTGTTTTTTTTCTTCTTCTTCTTCTTCTTCTTCATCTTCTTCATCTTTTTCTTCTTCTTTTTTTCTTTTTCTTCTTTTCTCTCTTATTGTTTCCGTTTCGCGATAGAGAAATATATTTTACTCGATGATCAATCAATCAATCAATCACATCACATCACAGCGCACGAATTTTTGAACTAAATTATCTATGTTGAACGTAAAAGGGGGATAGTAAGATTTTTTAAAAGAATCGAGAGAGAAAGAATAGAGTTTAGGAGATATAATACAGGTATATCCTTTATATCTAATCGTAAAAATATAGTTATTACGTTTGACATTAGAATTTGACGTTAAAACACAAAACTAATCTCGATCGAATGAATGACTAATTAATTAAAGCCACCCAAAATTGACATTTGACCTCGACTACTAAATGATGATCTGTCCCCTGATTGCTTCGAACGTTCGTATTAAATAAAAAAAAGAAAAAAAAGAAAAAAAATGAAACAAACAAAAAAAAAAGTAAAAAATGTTTTTATACAAAAGGTAATGCTGGAAATTATTATAAAAAAAAAGAACAACTTCTTCAATCGCTCGTTTTAACCATCGTGACAAATTTCGAAAGGCGAACGGAAAGATACGATTATATATTAGTGTTATTATTATTATTATTATTATTTTCTAATTTTGCTTCTTCTTCTTTTGCCCCTTCTCTTTTTTCGTTTTTTTTTTTTGTTTTTTTTTTTTTTTTTTTTTTTTTTTTTTTTTTTCCACTTCTAGTTATATATATATATATAGTATATGCATATGCATACATACATGTATATATATTTTTCTTTCTTCCTTTGTATTTTTTTTCTTTTGTTTTAAAAAAATATGATTATTAATGTTTCTTCCTCTCTCTTTTTTAATACGTGTGTGTGATTTACTTAGAAAAGATAAACAGAGAGGCAAATAATAAGGAGAAAAACAACCCAACTAAAGTGTCGACACTATATATATAATACACACACACACACACAACACACATATATATATATATATTTTCTCCTTTTTTTTTCGTTTTACATATTCGTTGCCCTAGGATACTAGTAGAAGACGGGCGCCATTGTTTATTTTTTCTTTTCTTAATGATATATATATATATATTTTTTTTCTTTTTTATTCTATCTCACATCCACATCAACGCTCCCCCAATTCCCTTTTTATCCACCTTCGAAAATTCCTCTTCCTTCGATCCTCCCCCCCCCCCATTTTTCCCTCGAATTTTGTAAATTGTGATATAATAAACAAATGTGTATAGGTACGACGTGACATCCTGATAAGCGCGAGTACGCGTAAATTTAAAGTAAAAGAAAAAAAGGAAAAAAAAAAGAAGAAAAACAAAACAAACAAAAACGGATATTTTGTTTCACACGGGAATTCCCCCTTTTTTAACGGACTCTGTGAATATATATATTGTGTATTATAATAATTACTAATTATATTAAATTTAAATATGGTTTACGTTCTAATATGCTGCTGCTGCTGCTACTCCTCCTCCCCCTCCTCCTTTAATCCTCTTTCCTGTGGTCCATTTTTTTTATATATCCAAACTTATAGAAATTACTAAACCCCTTCCCACCTATTCCTCCTTCACTGTCTCTCTCAAATTGTAATATACAAATATTTTTGACAAAAGACTAAGTGCTAGGAAAAAGAAAAGAGAAGAAAATTAAATTCCCTTTCTCCTCGCTCTATTTCTTCACCTCTTATTCCTACAACCAGTCCCAACCCTACCTCACCCCTATCCCACCCTAATTTCTTTTCTCATCCCATTTATCCGTCCTTTCCTATTTTGTTCGATAATTGCAGCGTTTAACGGTAATCTTTGAACGTAACTGAAAACTTATTGTACATTGTATAAACGATATAACCGCGTTCATTAAAACAAACAAATAAGCAAGAAGGCAAGCAACAAGCTCTAGTAGCAATCATGCAAACAAAATAAAAAAGGTCAGAAAAAGTAATGTGCACAAGATGAAAGATATAAAAAAAGAAAAGAAGAAAGAAGGTGTGTTGTATGATAGGATTATTTTTGCGCCATCCTACCCCTTCCCACCCCCCTCACATTCTTATTTTTTTCTCATACACAGCACCCCCCCCCCCCCTATCCGACATAGTAACTCTTTATTATTTTCCATGCATTATTAACCGGCGCATTGATTATATTATACATTTTTTTGTTCTTTGTATTATATTATTAATATTGACTATATAATATTATGTATGAAGTATAAAAGAAAAACACAACGACGGTTGGAAATGCGAGTCTGCCTCTCTCAGCTATTTTCAATCGCGTTAACTATTATAAACCTTATATTACATTCGAGATTTTATAATAGAGAATAATAATGATGATATCGTAATGATAATAGTGATTATGATTATGATTATGATTATGATTATGATTATGATTATAACGATGGTAAATAGTAATGATGATGCTTATAATTATAACGATAATGATAATATTAATATTAAATAATATTAAAATTATCGTTATATATATTAATATTAATATTAATATTAATACTAATAATAACTATATGTGTATGAAGAAAAAGAAAAAAAATGTCTTAAAATATTTCTTCTTCTTATGTAGTCTTTTGTGTTTTGTGTTTTTATTTTCTTATCTTATCTTATATTATCTTATCTTATCTTGTATTTTCTTTATTATTATATTTTGCTATATATTATTCTACTTTTTGGCTATAATTATCGGCGTTTAATTCTAATTTTCGTTTAAGATTATTTTTCTCTTATTTTTTAATTTTAATTTTAATTTTTTTTTTATACTCTAAAAGAGAGACAAATGAAGTAAAAACAAGAAAATATTGAAAAGTCAATCATACACAGTGTAGATTATACAAATTGTAAGCAATCTAATAAAAATGACGCTGATCTTTTCATTGTATCTAATGAGAAAATTTATAGAAATATAAATAAATAATACTTTAGTTTTTTTTCTTTTCTTTTTCTTTTTTTTTTTTTTCAAATTCCAATCGTATGTGGCTTTTGATGTCGTGTTTTTTGGGGAGGGAGGGGGAAAAATATTTTTGTTCGTTGCGAAACTAATCTGTGGAAAATCAGAAAAAAAAAACATTCATTTCGAGATGATACTGGGGATCATCAAATACTTATTTATTTTTTTCTTTTCTTTTTTTAGTTTTCTTAAAAACTACTATCTAATACAATTTTAGACGTTATAAATAAAATAAAATAATAGAAAGGAGATAACGGTCGCGTTTTTGTATTTAAATCGACGATGTTTGCAACATTGATTCGTACAATGTACATATAAATATATTCCATTAAACGTAGGCGTGATATTTTTCATTAAACAAATGACTGAAAGCAACTTTTTAAAGAGAGTGATCGCGAGAGTATGCGATATAAATAAAAAAATATTGTATAAAAAAAAGGGTAAATAATTAAAAACGGGGAATGATAAAGAAAGAACGTGAGAATTAACGTAAAGAATAATGGTGGAAAAATATTGCAACTTTCTTTGTAAAATATTGTAAATAACGCGATTTATTAACGAAAAATTGACAAATTCTTAGATATTCCTTCTTAACCTCTCTCTCTCTCACTCTCCCCCTCCATCCTTTTCCTAAGTCTTTCACTTTTCCCATTCATCATCCATATCCTCCCCCACCCCTCTCTTCGGATAAGAATCGAGAATTAATAATTCTAATGTTTGCACGCATCGTCGCGATCGCCAGTTATCGGGTGGGGGCAAAAAAAAAAGAAAAAGAGAAATATTAGGATGAAAATTGAAATTTTAMAAAAAAAAAAAAATCAAAATGACGATAAAGCCACATACGATTTTTAATTATGTCTGTTTAACATATATACAAATTATTATGTTTATCTATTACAAAAATGTATAAAAGATAAAGAAAAAGAAAAAAAAGAAAAATAATGGTTGATTTTTGAAAATCGCTGATGAGAGAACGTGGGCCTCGGATTCCGATTCGTGGTTGTGAGCAAATTAAAAACGATATTATAATTCGTAACGAACGTATTTTTTTTCGCCATAATAAAAGT